TCTGCGAGAATTGTTGGGCTTGGCTAAGCTTTCCCTCTTCACAGAATCCTACCTCACTGAGAACTTGCTTAAAGAGCCATTGGTGCAAGACTCCCTAGAATCCAAAGAGTTCGTAGAGAGAATATGTAGAGAAGTCAGACAAATCTCTTTTATATAGAAATTTCTTAAACATAATGTTCTGTACAACAAATTATTATTATATATTTTTCCTTCAGAAACGAGAAATGAAAGGTGGTGAGTCAGAGCAGAGAGTGACTCAGAATGCCCTCAACCTGCAGGAGGTTTTATTTGTGATGGGTGGTCGCTCGCTGGATGACTCGGATGATGAAGATGAGAATGAGAATGAGAATGAAGATGAAGACAGAGATAGAAGGTTGCACCCCAGAAATTGTGGTTTCTACAACCCAAAGCTTGGTAAGGACAACTTCAGCTGACACATCAACTTTATTTTCCAATTTATAAAAGAAGAATTATGTTAACATGGAGCACTTAAGATCTGATGTGCATATTACCGGTCAAGTTTGAACACACTATGGTGTAGAAAGGCTATAGAGGTTGTGGTTTTCCTTTTTGTCAAAAAGGTAGGAAAACTTGCAACACCCATAATTCACTGGGCTTGATCTAACTGTTCATAAGCAGGGGTACAAAAAAAATTTCTCCAAAGCATTGGAGCTGTCAAAACTCCAGTAGAAGATTAATTTTACGTCATTCGGTGGAATTTGTCTGACACATAATGCAAGTAACAGAGAAAGAGTACACATTGTTCATTTACATATACTACTTACATTGTAAAAATACATTGCTGGTTGAATGTCAGCAAAGTTACCCTTTAACTTATGTTTATCATAATCCTGGATATCTTTCCATCTAGAAGATTATGCTCATGAAAATTATGCTCATGCTTCATCTCTCATGAAAAATCCTCATGTCGTTCCAAACTCGTAAGACCTTCATTCATCTTCGGAACACAAATTAAGGTATTTTTTATTTAAATCTGAGCGCTTTCTGACCCTGCATAGACCGTACTGCCACTGACACGTTCAAGGTCCAGAAAGGTAGTAAAGACATTGTTAAAATAGTCTATAGTCTATGCAGTGGAGTTTAAAGTACCTGAAAGTCATACTCAAGTAAAAGTACAGATATCTTACCAAAAAATGACTTTGATAGATAGAAGTTGAAGTCACCGTTTAGAATATTACTTGAGTAAAAGTCTTAAAGTATGTGATATTTATTGTACTTAAGTACAAAAAGTATTTTTTTAATCTTAAACATATAAGTATTGAAAGTAAAAGTAAAGTAAATGCAAAATGGAAAAGAAGCAAATAAATAAATAATAATAAATATATATACA